TTTAGTCATAGAGAACATGTCTTTTTCTGTCTCTGTCTGATGCTCCAGATGTTTTCTGACCATCATCTTCAATAATGTAAAGCAGCTGTTCTGGCAGCTGGGCTGCCTTCATACACGCAAAAATATTTATTAGGCAGCATTTAAAAATATAAAATGTGTGAATCTTTTATGCAATCATTTTTATGATTTTTGAAAATGCTAAATTAGCATGACAGTCCTACTGCTCCATTAAATCGACAGCCCTGTTGCGCCATGATTTATTTATTTATTTATTTATGTATTTATTTATGTTTTAATGTATGTATTTATTATTATTAATAATAATAATTATTATTATTGTTATTAATTTATGTATGTATGTATGCATTTATTTATTTATTACATTTTAAATGAATCCATCAAATTAGCATTCAGTTTTAATGGCATTCTTTGGCCCTATTACTCTATGGATTGAGATTAATAAAAAAAATAATTATTAATTATTATTAAAAATTAATTTCATTTTTAATTAATTTGATTAATATTAATTTATAAAAAAGATTTTAAAATACTAAATTAACACAATATATTTATTCTAATCAATAATTTTATTTTATTTTATTTTATTTTGTTTTATTTTATTATTTTTAAAAAGAAAGCTGTACTCTCTGTCTATATTTGTAGAATGAAAGGGAAATAAACTCACCAGCTCACCTCAACTGGTCCATTATAGAGCTCTAGGATCTGATCTCATTTAGAGCCAAGGAGTCTTTATTTGTCTTTTCCTTTATCAGAGGCAGTTTATCCTCTGCCCCTTGAACTGTTACTCAGGCTCTCTCTCTTTTCTCTCTCAATTACCCTCCTCCACTGTTTTTTTTTTCTTCCTTTCCCCTCTCATCGGTTTTCATGGTCTATCCATAGAAGCATCTAACGCACACAGTGGAGCAAAAGGAAGGAGCACAAATCAATTAACTTTTCAGGCCTGCGAGGCTGGTGGGAGGGCAAGTCAAACTGGCAGCGTGGGACTGTGTTTCCTATAGCAAGGTTACGCATTGTCATCTTATCCAAGAAGCTCATCACCACACTGCCAGCTTCACACTTGAGAGCTGCCCTAGCAAGCAAACTGATGTTTACCATCCATATGACCCCGAAGGAAAATACAACTGCAATGTCAGGCAAGTGAGCTGAATAAACGGTTACAGTGACATACTGTGAGTGGGAACCAGATGGTGATTTCTGAGAGACAAGACATGTCATTTAGTGCTAAAAAAGAATTGCAGAGGAGTGAAGGTGTCCTAGTAGGTTAAGCCTCATATAATCTCTTTTGTATAACTCGAAAGTGCTCTTTTTCTTGTACTCTTACTGTGAGAAGTCAATCATATACAGGAAAAATAATTGAATGCTTATTCACCTCAGACCCTGTTATTAAAGTCGGCTCTATGTTTTAAAATTAAGGTTCTATTCTGTTCTGTTCTGAAGTTAAGATTCGGTTCTGTTCCAAAATTTAGATTTGGTTCTGTTCTGAAGTTAAGATTCGGTTCTGTTCTAAAGTTAAGATTATATTCTGTTCTGTTATGTTCTCAACTCACCATTCAATTTGTTTTATGCTAATTTAGATAATGTCTACCAATAGGCAGACCAGTTGACAAAGAAGTACTGTAGTTCACTTTAATCTGGCCAGAGGAAGAAATTACGCACAGAAAATCAGTTTATGATTTCATATTTTTATCAATTTCACATTTTTGTACTTAAAAACATTTATATTCCTATTAAAATATTTAATATTTCAAATTTGTTATTATATTTTATTGCATTTCAAATTGTTTAGATTCAAATAATGTGGAAAATAATCTTCAAAAGAGTGGGCAATAAAATAAAAGGTACAAAAAAGTTGCATTGTTTCCTGCAGTTGTAATTCCTGCTCAAATGCACTATTTTGTGGTATATATGCCATGCCAGATGCAGAATCACTGCAGTTTTTGCAGTGTAAAAACATTTTTGTCTTTACATTTGTTGATCGCTTATATAAACAGACACAAACTTTGAATATGCAATGGTGTCAGTATTTAAAATTTGAAAGAAGCCTACAAAGCAAACCAGTGTGGCTTTATGTATTGATCAATAGTGTGGAAATGGTTATAAAAACAGGTACAAACATAAAGTTGAAGTGGTAAAATAAAATGAATAAAACTAGTTAACAACTGCAGAGAAGAGTGAAGTCATTATCATATAAGCTGAGAGGAGGACAGTCTATTGTGAAAGAGAACTACTTGTTTGTAAAGTAAGAGCTTGTAGAAGAGAAAACAAAGTAAGAGAAACATCCAACACATATAGCAACTGATCTCTCTTTATTTAGCTTGGACCCATCTTTTGCTTTTCATCTTTCTCTTTCTCTTCTACCTCACATTTTTGGTCTCTGTTTGTTGTATTTGTGGTGCAAGGCTGTATATTCCCCATTAGAGTGATAAACCAGTAGGCATCAGTTTGTCCTTATTAAGCAGTGGAAAAGCTCCTGGTTTTGAAGTTCACTCTCACTTCCCTCTGGCCCCTAGGCCTGCAGGCCGGGCCCACCAGAGCAGGCCAACATTTTCGCAGCCGCCATTGATGTATATCTGACCTTTTATGCAGTCGTTCTGTGTTCCATAGCCTGAGGCCTAATTAAAACTAACAGCTCTGTGATACGCTGCAGCAACATGACCCCCACCTCATACAACCCCATAGAGTTTGGGCGAGTCTCCAGAACATTCTGTTCCTCTTCTAGTCCTGAAGTCAAAGTGGATGGGGAAGCATACAATGGAAATAGATGAATGTAATATCCACTATATGGCCTCATGGCCCCTATTAGAAGTCAATAACAAAGCAAGAGTATAGAAAAGATTTTGGAGCTATGAGCTGTTCACATTTCACTTCCTTAAATTCTCTTTTGTTGTCCTTCTTAGTGTTTACTTGCAATACACTTTCCTGCCGCTAGAGGGCATTTCCACTTTTACAGATATGTTTCATCCAACCCAGTCTCATAAAAATACGTACCTCTGGGTAAGTTGATATAGGTACGTATTGCTGTGTTTTTATTACGTTGCTTCAGGTACGTATTGCGGCGTTTCAGAATTCAAATATCCGGGGATTGTCGCTAAAAGTTAATGCTCTATCATGTTGGAAATATTCTAGTGTTCATTTCTTTTGGAAACTGCAGTGATATGTACTTATTGGTACGTATTTCGCGTCTCGCGAAAAAGTACCCAGAGGCACGTTTTTGCCATGAGACCAGGTAGGTTTCATCAAGTAGTTGAAAATCAGAGAAGTGGATCCATGAAAAACAACGATGTAAGCAAAAGGAGCACACGGCAAAGGCAACACAGTCCCAAACACACATAGTAATGAATATAAAAATAAAATAAAATAACAAAACGTATTTACTCCAAAATATTTGAATGGTAGTGTGGCTTTTCACATTTGCACAGACACTGTCCAAAACTTACTAACCACGCATAATATTTTTTTTCTAAAAAATGCAAACATGTAGATCAATTTTGCTCACATATTATTGTAGAACAGTTTGTGCTGAATACAACAAAAAAAAATTACACGTTGACCAATAGTATGTTATAAGTAGCTGAAATAAGCACAAATGCCAGGACATGTCAAAACATCTCAAGGGCCCCAAAATCACCTCAGACCCCAGAGAGTTAATACTGTCTTAATTTAATAATTTAATTTAAACTAACAATTTCACATTACATTTAAAGAAAGCATGTTGCTTCTGTAAAGACACAAAATAAAACAATATATAAATATTTTCTCAAAAGACCACAGTGTAGTAGTGCCGCCCAGGTGAATCGTTGGTTTTGGCAGAACAAGGGAAAAGGAAGGGCACAAAATACAGCGAAACTTTTGACATTAGTGTCACAGGGCAAGGTGATAGCTCATAGTGAGTACATCTAGACCCCTTTCCGGTGCCCTGACAGGGCCTCGTTTATTTTGCTGTGGTGCAGTGTGGGAAGATGTGGGTGTGTGCCTAGGGGTTGTGAGGGGGCTGATTTATGGCATCGCGCCTCAGAGGTGGCAGGAGCGAGCTGTCACAATCTGGTCTTTTGGGAAAATGGCGTGTGCCCAGAAAGCCCCAGAGAACAGGGGATATGCCAGTGTCCTCAAATAATAGGACATCTGCCCTGGTTACTCTACTATGGCCTGATGCAAGCACATCCAGTTCAACACAGTGGCCATCAAGTTAAAACAAAAATAATAAACTAAACTAAGATATAAGTTTTGGGTTGCTAAGGTTTTTTTTTTTGTTTGTTTTTTTTGTTTTTGAAAGAAGTCATGTATTTCTGAATTTATTGGATTGAAATACAGTAAAAACAGTAATATCGTAAAATATAATACAACATAAAATAACTCTCCTCTATTTGAATATATTATAAATGTAATTTAGCCCTGTGTTGGCAAAGCTGAATTTTCATCAGTCATTACTCTAGTCTTCAGTGTCACATGATCCTTCAGAAAGCATTCTAATAGGCTTATATGGTGCTCAAGAAGTTACAAGTTGTTCAGGATTCTTTGATGAATGAAATGTTTGAATGAACTGCATTTATTTGAAATATAAATATTTTGTACCATTATGTCAGTAAAAAAAATAAAATAAAATAAAAAAAACTGCCAGTAAACGTCATCCTTCAATTCAGTCATCCTTGTTAAATGAAAATATAAAAGAAGATTTTAAAAAGAGAATAATAAAAAACAAAAAAAACTTTAAGATACCTTTTTAAATTAGGCATATTTGTTCAAATGTAAACTGTAAATTCAATATAGTTACATCACAAATTAACTGATGTGTTTTATCGGAATAGATACAAATACTTTTGTCATTGCAACAGATGACTTCACTGCAAACAACATGACCTTAATGTTAGCAATTGGTTCTCGTTTGTTTGTTTGTTTGTTTGTTTGTTCGTTTGTTTTTTATTGGCAAACCAATTCCTAAATGTTGAAAGAACATTTTCTTTATGGTTTGTTTGTTTGTTTGTTTGATTGATTGATTGATTGATTGATTGATTGATTGATTGATTGTTTGTTTGTTTGTTTGTTTGTTGTTTGTTTGTTTGTTTGTTTAAACATTCCCAAATATTTAGTTGAGCTTCATTCAACTTTGATTTTCAACATGCAGATTATTTATAAAATTGGAGAATGTTTATGATCAAGATAATTTTGTTTCCTATGTCGAAGGTAACGCAACTCTGATCTCTCTTTTGCCAGTTTGTAAGGTTCTAAACTACTGTTGGGACATCAGTCAGTTAACCTGATTTATTCATCTAATCTCTTCAAGTTTGCACTTGTAATCTCAGAGCTAAATTTTTGATAGAACATTTTTCCAAGGTCTCCCTTAAAATTTCTCAAAACAGCAGGCTTCTCTTCACTGGCACAGGTCACATTCCATCAGTAACTGAATTACAGATCACACAGAGGGTAGCTGGTATCAGTTATGCACATAAATTCAGTGTCTAACTGGGTTTTCCCAAAGTCCACAGAGACAGATGGATTTCCACACACATGCATGTGCTCACTCACAGACAGGGATATTGTTTGATATGTGTGACCTTTGACAGCAAACGCAGAGCGTTCATTGGTATTCTTAACGGCATGTTGGGGTGAGACCAAAGCTCTCCGTACCCAACGTACCGGTGAGATCTGCTTAAGATTTGGTATTCTCAGCATAGGAACGTTCCTAAACCACTTACCCCTATTTGCAATGCAAATATCCCCAGACAGATTTATCCAATGGCATTGGGAATCACAGATAAACAGCACACTGGCAATGACTTTGCTTGTCATTCTCCTTAGATGAGGTAAACATCATTATGATTTATAGTGCTCTGTGACATTGTGGCAGTGCAAAATAAAAATATTCCATCTGACATACTGATAGACTGACTTCCATTTGAACCTGAAGAAAATAGTCTGATTTGTAACTTCATAAATACATTTAGATCAATCGCTCTGCTTCTACGCATACATCAATGTCAGGCTGTAGAGGCACATCTGGTCTCAATTCAGAGCTAGCTTTGCATTTTCGCTAATACACTGCTGTTGATGGTGCCGCTTAGAGGTGCACAACCTGTCTGAGAAACACAAGTGGACAGATGCCTCAGAATAGGATAAACCACAGGAGCTCGTGAGTAGATTGAACCAATTATGGTCTGATGGTTTTTGTAATAACATAAACATATGGAGAGGCTTCAGTGTGTGACAGCGAAACTTCTTGTTCGTTTTCAGCCAATCAGCAATGGGTGAACTTTTTCCATCGCTTAGGGCACCTGCTGGTCTGGCTGCAATTGTTCATTTGATGGTGTGAATAATGCCAAATGATTTTTCAGGATCTATTTATTTATTTAGCACACACTGGCATGGAAAAAAAAAATCTGATTTCAGATAGTTTTAGATCGTATAAAAATAAAACATGTTTGACAAAGGCATAATTATATAGCTCATAATTATGTACACTGACCTATATTGTCTTTTTGGTTTATTTGTATTGTTTATTATCATTTATTATTA